TGCTTTTGTTAAATTTTGAAATCCTGAAACACTGGAGCTGGATTGTCTAGACCTAACCTCCTATGTGGAGCTGGAGAAGCTGAGGCTTAGTGAGGGGAAGGGACTTGTCTGAGGATGTGAACAGGCCATACAGAGCAGGGACCAACACTGGGGTTCATGACTGTCCTCCAGGACCTGCCTCGTCACTATGCACAGCTGCCCATTTGCCTCCCCTTCACCCCCACCTCCACCCCCAGAGAGTGGTGAAGGAGGTGGGGGGTAGCCCGTGGGTGCCCTTTCTGGGGGACTTCTCCTACCATATAGCCTAGGAGAGACATGAGCACCTACTGACTGTACATCTGTCAGTGTTCTGGCCCTGTGATCTTTAGTTCTCAGAGCAATCCCTTGAGGAAGGGATTGTTTAGGAAGACACTTTCCAAAGTTTCCCAGTTTAGCAGGTGACTCCTGTTCCCAGTGTTGTAACTCCTTCAAATCAGAGAATTGATCCCAAATGACAGTTTTCATCTCAAGGGCCAACTCTAATCAATGGGTAGAGAGCACCATGTTGAGAAGAGCTCTGAGATCCTGTGCAGATTCCCTAGGAAGTGGTGCTGGGGTTGATTATGTCTGCAGGGGATGTGGGTATAGGTAGAATGAAAAGGAACAGTCTTTCCATGATGTGGCTTCCACCCATTGTGGCCTCATTTCTCTATAGGAGTGTTTAGCTTCTTAGTCTGATCTTCACAACCAGCCTTTCTGAGACCAGTGGATCTCCAGTACCACCTCAAACTCATGACCAAAGGAACTGGTCCAGAGAAGGAAAGTGACTTTCCCAGTTAGCACTGCAAGTTGGTGTCCAGGGCCTTCTTGCACTCTGTGAAGGCCTTTCCTCTCCACGGAGCTGAGACTGGTGTTTTTTGTCAAGAGGAACTCACATTATACATCCCTTCCCAGACCCAGCAGTCCTGTTGAGAAATAGCATAGTGTGGCCTGCCTGGAAAGAATGACTCCAGGAGAGCACCGATAAGAGCTTTGACATGTTTGATATATGCTGCTAAAGGAAGGAGGAAGAGAGATGGGGTCAGGCCCACCTGCAGATCCCCACCCCACCAGTTCCCTGTCTGTGGAGGAAGGCAGGCAGCCCACACTGTGCCCTTCCCCTGTACTGGGATCCCTGCTAGGTGCCTTAGTTCTACCATTTTGTTTCCTCTTCATGATGGTCCTGTGACGTGGCTATTAATATCCCAGTTTACAGATGAGACTGAAGCTCAGAGATTGTGGCTACCCAAGACCAGAGAAAGCAGAGATGGCCATGAGGCAGTCCTGTTAGGGGCCTTTGTTACTCATTGTTTTTTTATTTATATATTTATATATTTATATAAATATGTATATATAATTGTGCATATATTATATATATATTTACTATAAGAGGACATAGAGGGGTATGTGAAGAGATTAAGACAGGTCGAAATCACCCAGAGTTCTACCATCTAAAGAAAACCACTGTTGTGTCGATATATTTTCTTTTGGCCTTTCTAAAATTAGGATTTGGGCTGTGTTTTTTTAATGCATAGTTACAGGTTTCCTAGACATGTAATTTATCCTTATGATACCTAACATTATGGCATCAGCCTTCTCCATGAGGTTGCCAGCTCTTCTGAGCATTATTGTGATCGACTGCTTGGAACCCTAGGAGAGTTGGCATCTTGAGTGGCTGGGGAAGCCCTGGGCCTGGAGTCAGGAGGCCAGAGCCTGAGCATCGGCTAGGGATGCTCTAGGGATCTGTGGACAAGTCACTGCACACTCTCTTCATCACTAAAGTGAGGGGTGGCATGCCTGCTCTGGGTCCTTCCAGCATCACATAGGCAAAGGCCTTTTTTAACTATAAAGTTCTGTGTCCCTGGCAGGAATTTTCCTTTCTTCCCTCAGTGTCCTTCTGGGAAAGTTCTGCACTTCCCTTGGCTCCTGAGCCTTTTGCTAAGAGGCTTCTTGCAGCTGTGCCAGAGCCCAGCATCCCTGAGATACTCACATGAGGCACACTCCTGTATGTTATCCCAAAGGGGACATTTACTCTGAACAGAACAGGGGCCCTGACTTTCAAAGACCACCAGCCCACACCTCTGCCTTTGTCCGCTTCTGGTCCAAAGTTGTGAGGACTCTCAGGGATTTCTCCCTTCTCTTTTCCCAATAGCCTGGGACACCCCTGAGAGGCCTCTAGGTTCTGCTGTGACCTCAGGAAAGCCCCAGGCCACTGAATACTAAAAAGCTTGGGACCTGCCTCATCAAAGGAGTCAGCTGCAGCTAGAGCTTGGCCCTAGGACTCTGGATACTTACCTCTTCTTTTTCCAGCAACACACAGAAGTATACATTCCACTGCAACCAAACCAATTATGAGGCTACAAAGGCCAGAGCTCAGTTCCCGGCTCCACCACCTTCCTTTTCTCATCCTCAGTTTCCTCCGCTCTAAAATGGACATAAGACCGCTGACCTGGAGTGACTGAGAGAACATGTGTCCAGCACTAACACATAGTGAGGACTGGCTCTGACTGTCAATGTCAGCGCTTTCCAGGTGAATGTCCAGGCCTGGCACAGAACACAGAGGCCCAGGGAGAGGTGTCCACTGTGCAGGGCTGAGCAAGGACCGGTCCAGGATGCCCTGAGAGTGTCCCCAAGCAGTTATCATACGCCCCTGCTCCTTTTACATCAGCTGTCCTTACCGTTGCCTCAGTTCCATTTCTACAGTGGCCCAGTGATGGCCACCTTGCATGCATGCATAGCTCTTCATAGTTTGGATTGTACTTCGGTGAGAGTCAATCAACTTATGTGAGGAGGGCAGGTCAAGAATTACTGCTGTGTGGTTCAGAGGACAAGGCTGAGGCCTGGAGCAGGACGGTGAGAGGCCCCCTCTCTGGAGGGGGTAGCTTTTGGGTTATGTTTGGGCTCCTGGTTACATAAGCAGGAGCTCATGAGAGGCCATTTGACATTTAATAGGCACATTGTACAATCACCTTTGGGAACCAAAGGGAAATCTCAGGGCATTTTTTTGGTACATGTTTGTTTAAACCCCAGGAAGGGTGGGTGTGAGCAGATCAGCTTAGCAGCGAAGGTGGGGCCCAGAGTAATAAGCCCCTGTGGTAAGCAGCTCACTCAGGAGAACAAAAGGTGCCTGAAGCAAATTCATTCTTTTCCTTTTAGTTCCAGACATTGGAGCACCCTGTCCTGCCTCAGTTGGGACCAAGCCCAGGATGCACCTGGGCTGGGTTTAATCCTCAAATTGAACTCTATAATAGAAAGGGATAGAAAAGGAGGGGCCCCCATAGGAGGCAGGGGAGAAGATCCCCACTTCTTCCTGCCCCCACACAGAGCCAGTGTGGATCAAGTAGCTCCCCCGTTAAAGTTTCATGGAAGGCTGGTAATACTATCGTGCTGGTCCCTCCCCGCTCACCCCAGTCTAGAAGGTGGGCTGGTTCCTGGTCCATCCCTCCCTGAAGGCCAGTGGGAGGGTTGGGTGGGGAGAAAACAGGGCAGGGGAGCAGAACAGGGCTACCCGAGATGAAGAGGCCTGCGTGGTGCCTCCCAGGCTGAGTGGCTGCTGTGTGGTGGGAGGGGATAACCACACACTGTCCAGCTAGACGCTTTCACTGCTCAGCCCCCTTTCTCATTCTGCCACGAGCACCACCGAGCACCACCACTGAGCTACAGCGGGCACACACACAGGCTTTGGGCCAGACAGATGTGCATGGGTGTGAGGATTGAATAGAAGAGTGTACATGTAATGCCTGGCATCTGTGGCAGCTACGGTATAATTGTTCAGGGACGGAAACTGAGGCCAGGGAAGGGGACGTGGCTTGTATCATAACCTGTGTCTGGGGAAAGCCCCTCTTAGATCTTGTCTCTCCACCAGCCTCCCTGCCAGTCCTGCTGGAGGCAGCAGATGAAAACAGAGGAATTGGAACTGAGCAGGCCTGGGTTTTAATCCTGCCCTGCTTTTTACCAATGTGGGGTAAACCCGTTTCCTCTCTGAGCCTCTATTTTATTTCTTCATCTGTATAATGCAGGAAGCACCTCAGGTGCCTAGATTAAAGGAAGAGGTAAAGAGGAGTAATAGCTGTATCCGCTGGGGTAGGGGCAGGGCACAGGTATGCCCAGAGCCCATCTGGAAGTCTAGACAGTTGGAATGAAGGATCCTGCCTCTGGAGGACAGGCCAGGTGAGGAAGCTTAGGACTGTAGACTCATCCATTGTCACAAAAGAGGTGAGGTGGGGCCAGTCCTTGCAGGAAGAGGCTTCAGTTTGGGAGGTTGGTATATGAGTCTCAGACATGGCTCAGCCACTGCCAAACCGTGACAGTGAGCCATGTGTCCTCAGTGCTCCAACTAGTTCCCCTCCCAGTTACTTGTGGCTATGCGTGACTTTCTGAACCTAAGTCTCAATTCCCTCTTCATGAAGCGACGACAGAAATTGCTACCTTGCCATTTTCGTGGTTGTGAGGGTGAAATGAATCTGTGTGGTGAGTCAGTTAGCACAGCACCTGGCACATGACACATGCTCAGCACAGGTGAATGGAGCACCCTGACCCTGACCGCTGAGCTGTGAGCTCCTCCAGACCAGCGCATAGACCCTGGACCGTCAGAGCCCCAGAGGCCAGCCAAAGATCCATGTAGTCTAGTGGGTTCCTTAACCTATGGCAGAGATGGTGAGCAGGCCCCCACCCTCACTTCAGCCACAACAAGCCTACTTTCATCTGCTAATCTTACTTAGGAAAGGGTTCTGCTGCTTCCAGTTTAATATCCACCAATCTGGCCTAACCGCCTTTACCATACAGGCCGGGAGACCAAGGCCTGAGAGGAACAGGGGCAAGGAATTATGAGGAGTATTCAGGGAAAGCAGCCTGCAGGGACAGGGTGCTGGTGGCAACTTTCAGCTGTGCCTAGACACATTGGCTGGTGTCTTAGGGGTGGGGTTAGAACCATCTGGTATGGGGTGCCTGCTGTCAACCCTCACCTATGTCTCTCTTTCTAGCCCCCACCATGCTGTGGCCCCTGCTGCTGCCCCTGCTGCTGTTGCTGGCTGTGAGCTGGGTCCAGACGACCCGGCCATGCTTCCCTGGGTGCCAGTGTGAGGTGGAGACCTTCGGCCTCTTTGATAGCTTCAGCCTGACACGAGTGGATTGCAGCGGCCTGGGCCCCCACATCGTGCCCGTGCCCATCCCTCTGGACACAGCCCACCTGGACCTGTCCTCCAACCGGCTGGAGACCGTGAATGAGTCGGCGTTGGCAGGGCCAGGCTATACCACGCTGGCTGGCCTGGATCTCAGCCACAACCTGCTCACCAGCATCTCGCCCACCGCCTTCTCCCGCCTTCGCTACCTAGAGTCGCTTGACCTCAGTCATAATGGCCTGGCAGCCCTGCCTGCGGACAGCTTCACCAGCTCGCCCCTGAGTGATGTGAACCTCAGCCACAACCGGCTCCGTGAGGTCCCAGTGTCTGCCTTCACTACCCACAGCCAGGGCAGAGCGCTCCATGTGGACCTCTCCCACAACCGCATCCACCGCCTCGTGCCCCACCCCGCCCAGGCCAGCCTGCCCACACCTACCATCCAGAGCCTGAACCTGGCCTGGAACCGGCTCCGCACTGTGCCCGACCTCCGGGACTTGCCCCTACGCTACCTGAGCCTGGATGGGAACCCACTGACTGTCATCAGCCCAGGTGCCTTCACAGGACTGGCTGGCCTGACACACCTGTCTCTGGGCAGTCTGCAGGGTATCCCCCAACTGGCACCCTACAGTTTCTGTGAGCTGCATAGCCTGCAGGTCCTGGACCTGTCAGGCAACCCCAAGCTCAAGTGGGCAGGAGCTGAGGTGTTCTCAGGCCTGGGCTCCCTGCAGGAGCTGGACCTGTCGGGCACAAGCCTGGTACCCCAGACTGAGATGCTGTTCCTTCACCTCCCAGCGCTGCAGAGCATCAGCGTGGGCCAGGGTATGCAGTGCCGGCGCCTGGTACGGGAGGGTGCCTACCCCCGGCAGCCTGGCTCCAGCCCCAAGGTGGCACTGCACTGCATAGACACTGGGGAACTGGCTTCCAAGGGCCCTAACGCCTTGTGACAAATGGTGTGACCTGGGGCCACATAAAAGACTGCTGCTCTGAGCTGACTCGGGTCCTGGGTAACTTATATTTTAATGTGCCAATGCCAGTGGGGACTCTGCAGGCCTATGTGGCAGCATCATCAAAAGACAGCTGTGAACCTGGAAAGAGGTTCTGGACCTGGGAACAACACCCAGAAGCAAAGTCTTGCCCCTTTGTCTGTATTGTCCCCAAACCATAAGCAGAGGGTCTTAGATGCCAAACCAGACAGCAGTCCCCTGCTGTCCTTCCTCACTTGACCCCAAAGTGCCTTCCCTCAGTCCTGGGCCAACCTGATTGTGACAGAAGGTCAGAGGTCAGGTCCATGGCTGAGTGCCCCCTTGGGCCTATGGTCCAGTCCCTCAGGGGTGTGGGTTTCTTTTGCTCTGGGCACACGAGGCCCATTTTATCATTTTTCTCTTCCCCTAGAACCCTGGGTAGAATTTTAGTTATAGAAAGGACTGGGGGAATCAAGTCCACCTCCTCATGTGACAGATGGGAGAACTGAGGCCTAGAGAAGGAAGATTGTTAATCTGAGGTACTGCAGTGGCAGGGGCATAACTGGACCAGCATCCTGCCTCCCAGCCAAGCCCCTTTGTACTTTGCTGTCTTCTCTAAATCATGCCCTCCCTCTCCCCTTTCTGGGCTCCCCTTTGCTGCCAACATCCACATCCTGCCATGTGTGCCCTTTTCCTGTCATCCCGAGGAGGACAGGTAAGGGCCTCAGAGGTGGGACGCTGGGCCCACTGCCCAGCTGTGTTGCATGGGCTAAGTCATTTCACCTCTCAGAGCCTCTGGAAGCTTCAGGCATGCCAGTTTCCCACTTTGGGGTGGGGTCCCCCAGCATCCAAGACTGGAAATGTGTGCATTGACCCTTAAGGCACTGCCTCTAGATGCTCGCCCAGCAGTCCTGGAGCCCACCTGGCCACAAGCACGGTGGGGCCTCCCAGATTCAGCCTCCACTGGCCCAGAGCTCACAGCACATCTCCCCCTACTAAGAAAGCAAGGAGGCAGGCAGTTCCCACCCAATTTTATTTTCCCCCACCAGGGTGGCATCTCAGATTCCCAGCCCTGGGTTCTTTCCTTAGTGCTCATTTTATACAAGTTGTTGCCTTTTTAATGGACTGTCACTTTTAACCAGCTCCCCGTCCCCACCCCTGCTGGCAGGGGATGGAAAGTATCATTTGTAAAAGAAAAAGGTTGCATTTGTTCACTTTTGTAATAGTGTGTCCTGGGGGGGTTGTTGGAGGAGGAGGTGTTGGGTGGCAGCCAGCCATCAGTGGCCATCAAAGGGCTAGACCCACAAAGACACTCATAGGACAATGAGAGCTCAGTCCTCCCCCACCAGCCTCACCCAACACCTAACTAGTTCTTGGTTTAATAAAGGTTATAAAGAATCCCTCTTTCCATCACTTGACCAGTGTCCATTCACATTCCCTGGGCTGTGCCCTGGGGCCACAAGGATGAATTAGGACCAGCCCTGCCCTGGGCAATATGTTCTCCCTGAAAAGCCCAATAACCTCCCAGGATGGGGGAGTGAGGTAACATGGGGA